TTTACCCATTCCCTCGATATTTGCCCTACAAATTTGACTACAAAATTATTTTTTTTGCAAAAGTTTTTTTCCACAAATAATAACCTTTCCCTACCAAAATATTTTTTAGCGAAAACATAAAATTCTTATAGTGAGAGTTCAAGTATGTTCTATAATTATTCAACGAATCGAAAATACTTGAATTAGTATGAAAAAATGAGTTTAGGGTATAACGAGATGAAATGTTCATCTAGTAGAGCTATTATATATTCCTAATATGTTTATAGTACTGCAAGTTCTAAAATAAACTCTCATATCACGTGATTTATTTGCCATATAAATTTTGGTAGAAATATTTAAATTATATTATTAGTGATTGTGTGTGGTTCAGGTCAAGCTCATCGTTTGTGAGCGGAATATGTTGAAAAGCGGGTCATAGGTCACCCATGTGGTATGACTAAATTGGCAATAAATTAAAATTGGTAGGATGGAGTAATTTGAACTTTGAATTCAAAACCTTTTAACTTCCTTTAACCTCCCTAAACTTCCCACAACTTCCTTGAACATGTCTTGCACAAATTGGTAGTAAAAAAATGAAAATGATAGGCTGAAAATACGAGTAAAAAACAAACCAAAATTGGAAAGGGCCTAGAACCATATTTTTAGGTAGAAAAGTGACAAAACTTGGCACTTGAGTTGTGAATAATGATAGAGACTGGGATCATAGGAGTGGAACAAAATTTAGATTTTGGAATATAAAAATCAAGGTAATTCAACCGTAAAAATCTTGAAAATTCATTCCTTTCATGTGCAAATTATTGAATCGAAATTATATTCCAACATGCTACAAGTCCTTTCAGTATTATAGTGCAGTATCACTATTAAAATATTGTGCCTGTGGTGTTGGGTTTTGATACCCAATAAATCCCGGACAATGATGTTAAATCATTTTTTGTTTGGATTATATTTCATAGGTCTCGTTTGATGAGTAAAGTGAAATATCGATACCATAATCGAACAAACCCAATCCTACAACATATTCGGGTCATTTGAAGTAACCTAATTTAATTGGTGTTATTCATGGCCCGACTCATTACCTTGGAAGGTTTTTCGATTAATAGCTCACTTATATACTTCCTATTGGGCCTTATTCTTTCTAACCTAAAAGTTCATACCTAATCCCTACCTTTATATGTGTTGCCCCATTACTGTAGTTGTGTGTGTGAAATTGGTAGCCGTGTGTTTAAGAGAAAAGGCAGCGTCCCTTGCTTCATGCTTCTCGGTATTGGCTTTGTGCTTGACTATACCTTCTCTTCTCCTTTTTCTCTAGCCTTTATGGTTGATTCTTGAGGCTACCATATTCTCCACACCGTTGCCCTTTATGGGAACTAGAGAGTAAACGATTTTGGGAGGTTCGGTTGGGACTGGGTTTGTTGATTGTGGTAGTCGATTGAAGTAACTGAGCTCGGACTTTTGGTTGATTGGAGTCCATTATTTTACAATTGGTATCAGAGCAGGGTTATGAGTGACATTAGGATTGGGGTTACCGTGAAGGGATAACCATTGTTTGTGCTAGAAATTTAGAAATTAATTGTTCTATTTGAAATGTTGGTTTTAACTGGAAGATGATATTTGCCTCTGTATTTAATTGCACGAGAATTTTGAATTTTTTGTTGACATACCTTCGTGTTGCATTGGCTATTCCGTTAGAACATCTAGACTTGACCCGTTCGAATATTTTCTTGATCTAAGATCGTAAATCTTGAAACTCTGGAAATCTAGAACGGCGTATATTGTTGCCTCAGGATTACTTTGTGTGGCCTATTTGTGCATTTTTTGTTGTTCTATTTTTCAAAATGTCTTTATATTTCGAAATTGAAATTTTTAATGGGAAATGAAACTTTTCAATTTGGCAACAAAAGATAAAGGGATTTTTGTTCAACAAAAAGTTTCAAAGGCCATAGATGGCAAATTTTCTGCAAATTTAACAAAAATACAAAAAGAAGAATATGATGAATTTGCTTACACTTCAATTATTTTACACCTATCCGACATCGTTTTGAGAAAAGTTGAAAAACTTGACTTTACCAAATAACTTTGGCAAAAGTTGGAAGACTTATATTTGCTTAAGTCCACTCCTAATAAGTTGTACTTACTTGAAAGATTTTTTAGCTTTAAAATGGATCATGCAAAGGCTCTTGATGACAATTTGGATGTTTTTAACAAGTTAGTTCAAGACATCGTTAATTATGATTAGAAGGTGTCTGAAACGTATAAAACTATTAGTTTGTTTAATTCTATGTCTGATTCATATAGAGAAGTTAAGAATGCAATTAAGTATGGTAGGGACACCCTAACACCTGAGATTGTCATAGATTCCCTTAAGAGTAAGGAGATAGAGATTAAAGCTGAAAAAGAAGATAAGAGGAGTGGTGAGTTGCATATGATGATGAGTAGAATGAAGTTTAAGCAAATGAATTTGGGTAGAGTTCAAGATAATGGTAATTCGAATAATGACTCGAGTGATGAGGGTGGCAAGAAAAAGAGCAAGGGATGGGACAAGTCTAACGGTAAACTGTGTTACAGTTGTGGTAAGACTGGACACTTTATTAGGGACTGTCCCAAGAAGAAAAATGAAAGTAAGATGAGAGGCGAGACAAATTTGGCATTAAGGTCGAGTGATGACCCTAGTGAGGTTTATTGAGTGTATACCTAGTTACTTCATTCGCATCCGTGTGTAATCTTTTTCTGCATGTGTGTAATTGCTCAATTTCGTTACATGATTATATGCTACATTTCAATGTGTTTGATATATGCCTTGACATGAATTGAAATGATCTCATTACTTGGTGTAATTGTTTGCATGCATAGTGGGTAGGGATGTATTAGCAGTGTAGTGTATGTCTTTTGGTAAGATGGAGTATAGATGTCTAGGGGTACATTGATGGTTTGTACCGGGGATGTGGAGTGTGACATTTGGATCAAGAGTGGAGAGGGGATTAAATGTTGGAATCTTTTATCTGTAAAGAGACCCTGATCAGGTGGAGTGTGAGAGATGCACTTCTATCACTTCTGTTAGGTGGAGACCCATTATCCACTTAGGTTGGGAGAAGTGATGTGGTGATAGAGAATTATCCCGAGAACTTAGGATCTATAGAGATTTACCGTTAGACATGAGTTGAGTGATTAGTCTAGTGAGTATGGTGGACAATGATGTGAGATATGTGTTGTCGAGCTGTGAGCAACACAAAATGGGATAGGATAGTGTGGTGAGATCTTCTTTGTGGGGTCATTTATGCATTTGTTGCATATGTGTTGGCATGTTAATTAACTTGGTGTTAATATGTCGTTCTGTGTGAACGTGTTTGATAAGATCTATGTGTTATCTTATATATCATATCTCCATCGCATGTTTATTTGCTCTTGATTAATTGTTGTGATTATTTGCTTCTACTGGGTGTTCTTGACTTTAGCCCTGGTAAGTATATGGAGTATGTATGATATGTGTTTCAGGTTCGAAACACGAGGTAAGGTCTCCGATACCAATTTTACTGATTACTTTGATTATGCAAGTATAAACTTTGTGCTTTGTTTGCCTGCAGATTGATTGGGTATCAAGGTGGAGATGTATTTTGATACCCAATAAATCTCAGACAACTATGTTAAACCGTTTTTTGTTTGGATTATACTTTATAGGTCTCGATCGATGAGTGAAGTGAGATATCGACACCACAATCGAACAAACCAACCCTACAACCTATTCGGGCATTTTGAAGTAACCTAATTTAATTAGTGTTACTCATTGCCCGACTCATTACCTTGGAAGGCTTTTCGGTTGATAGCCCATTTATATATTTCCTATTAGGCCTTATTCTTTCTAACCTAAAAGCTCATACCTAATCTCTACCTTTATATGCATTGCCCCATTACTGTAGCCGTGTGTGTGAAATTGGTAGCCGTGTGTTTGAGAGAAAAGGCAGCGTCCCTTGCATCGTGCTTCTCGGTATTGGCTTTCTACTTGACTATACCTTCTCTTCTTTATACTTTGTGGCTGATTCTTGAGGCTACCATATTCTCCACACCGTTGCCCTTTGTGGGAACTAGAGAGCAACCAGTTTTGGGAGGTTTGGTTGGGATGGTTTGTTAATTGTGGTGGTCGATTGAAGTAACTAAGCCCAGATTTTCGGTTGATTGGAGTCCATTATTTTACATGTGGTACTGCGTACTGATACTTATCGGTTCTTCATGCATGGTTCAATATCTTCATTTCTAGATTGAAACTCTTTGATTTTTGAATAATTAGACTACCCCAAGTTGTTGCTTGTTTTGAACTCTTTTTCCTTTTTTGAATTTTATAGGTACTCCGAAATTGGGAATTTTTTTCGTAGACATGATAAAAATTAGATTTAGCATCCCATATTTATCCTCCAGTTGCATCGCTACCAAATTAATTTCGTGAATGCTTGCATTTTATGGATTAGTTCCCATTCCTCTCTTTTTTTTTTTTTAATGTTAACCAACTCCTTGTTGTTTGGATGGTAACAGTCAATTCTCTCTCTATTTGCTTGAAAATTTCGGATTTGATAATTTAAACTTTTTATTTTTCTTCAAAATTTTAGGATCCAAATATATTTCAAGTTTTGGTTTCAAGATATTAACTACTTGAGAATTTGTAACTAATTTCCATAAAAATGAATCATACGATCCAAATTAATATTCTCGAAAACTTTTATATCACGCCTAATGACGTCATCATATCTACCAATTTCAAGTTAACCTAAGAAAAATCAGGAAAGATTAGGGTGTTGACTATGTAAGGAAAAGATTTCCTTAATGTTAAAATCAGTGCATATAACTTTACTTATTGGGCAATTAGTTTGAGACTATGAATCCTTTGTCTACCAGGATCATGCTTCCTCGACTGATATAAATTGAGTACTGCTGTTCTCTTCTATTTTCCTTCATAATTTCGAAACAATACCATGTCGAAGTTTTTAAAAGAGATTTTACTTCCTATATTAATGCACGAGGCTGGGATATCTGATGAAGAATGCATGTTGATCGATAAACCTACTATGATCATCACCCAAGATTACTCGAATCCCGGGATAGAAAAGTTGCAGATTAATAATGAAAACAATTATGGGCGGGTCGAAGAAGAAGATACGTATTGGGAAGATTGGAGTAGAGAGACAGGAAAAGATGATGCGTCCAAGAAACTGAAAGAAATATCTGTCAAGAAAATCATTGAGAATAAATATGAAGCAGCCCTTGAAGTTCAATTAAGAGAAAAATCTCTCAAGAAACCTGTTGTTGAAGCCCCATTGGAGAGCGACTCCACAATTATGTCCTCTGAAATCAGCGACGGAAAAATAAAGAGCAAGGAGAAGTTGAAAAGTAATGGCAGAATTGGAGAAGGATCTTCATCAAGAAGTAACAAGAAAAGCTGCATTAATCTGAGGGAAGAGCCAGCTCCTCCATTGCCCGTACAATTCAAAAACGCAGTTCTTGCCCTAGCACAAGGTAGAACTGTCTCGGAAGCAAAGTTGGTCATACAGAAGCAATTGTTCCCTACTGATATAGCTAAGGATCAAAATCGGTTCACCATTCCGGTGAATCAGATTAGAGAGGAGTTCCTGAGCAATGAAGAGAAGATATATCTGTCAAAGTACGTGAGTAAGGGACGGAAAATGGCTATGGAAGCTATGATAATTGAGCCATTGCTCAGGGAAGGAACTGTGGAGTTGAGAAGGTGGGACTTGAAGAAATATTCAGGACGTTCAAGCATGTCTTACGTGTTGAATAAAAATTGGGGGACACTTTGTGAGAATAATAAACTCGAGGTTGGAAATGTCTTGCAACTTTGGGCTTTTCGAGTTGATGGAGAATTGCTGTTTGTGCTTGTCAAGCTTGCCTGAAGAGGATGGTGACCATATTGCTGTAGTATTAGTTATTTCAGTTCTCGTTAAACACTGCATAGTACGTTCAAAATAAGTATATGGGATTTTTTGTGATTAATTACATTACCAAATTAAGAGTAAATTATTTCTTATTATATCTTGAATTTATTTACGACAGATAGAAAGTGGTATTTCCTCTATAAGAGTTAATAAAGGCGACTACTGCATTGGATGCAATCGTGCAATATACAAACTATTTATTGCAGGGATCTAAGTTATTAACTTAAAGTAATTGAATAACTAAAATATTAAGAAAGTTTAAGATTTCCAATTGTTATGTAGATTCAAGGAATATTATGATTTATAAATAAATAACTCGATGGCAAAAAATCTTGAAAGATGTTCATCGAAATTGAATTTGAGTGTTCCTCAAACTCTTTGTGAGAATTGTAGTTGAGATAAAATTCATTGTCTTATACACTAGTTAATGTTAATCAATTTAGGTTTCTTAATTGACCTCTATACACGACATATATGTTTATGTGCCCAAGCGTAGCACGTTTGAAGATAAAAGTATCTCGCGAATAGAGAAGAAGATAGATATGAGGAAGCCAACAGAGAAGGATGTCGAAGGGGTGAAACTTGAAGAAAACTTGCAGATTAATAAGAATTATTGTGCGCAAGTTGAAGATGGAGAAGAAGAAGAAGATATGTATTGAGAAGATTGGTGTAGAGAGACAGCAAACTCTCCATGCAGCAAAGATTCTCAAAAAACACTCTTCTAGGAAAGCCATTGAGAATAAAGATGATGCATCCGTGAAAGTATCAGGTTAGAAGAATCTGTTGGAAAATTTCGTGTATGGAGTGACAAGCAACACTGGGAAATCCTTCAAATTACCTAAAATTCTGTAGAAATTTCGGCAGAGTAACGGTAGGAAATGGACTCCAAATAAATCCGAAAAAATGTGTAGTATAGGAGCAATAATATCAAAGTTGAGACAAGTGTCAAACATTTTGTCCTTAAGTCGAATTTGCTCCGCAACGATGCCTACGATTTATGGCAACCAACTCCCAAGATACAACGACTATCTTCTTGTGTGAGTAGCACTACAACACATAAGAAACGAAGAACCAGAACTTGGTTTACGAACTCCGATATGCAAAGTGAAGAAAATCGGAATTTATGCAACAAGAATGCAAGAAGAAATGAGAGAAAATGAATGTTATATGATTGCATATCATTGGTGTGAAGATTGGGGCGTCCCTAGGGTCCTATTTATATATGTTGAAGGGTTGTGGATGAAGTAGTGCAAGCTAAAACACAACAGTTGCGTGTTCCCAGATTTTCGCCCGATGTCCGCTCGCCATGTTGCTCGAGCGACACTTTCAGTGAGCCCGTCACTCGAGCGACAGTGTCATCCGATTTTCCACCTTGTTCTTTCGGGGGTGAACCCCCCATTTGGAAGCGGTAAAGAACAAATAAACGGGTTTCGTTTTGGCCGAGGTTGACATGAAGTTACACTTTCCAATACTTGGGTTTCGATTCTTAAGCAATCTTTCTCGTAATTTAAACCAATTTCCAACAGAATCTCCTAGCAAGAAAAGGAAAGCAAACAAGTCTAAAGTAAGAGCAGCACTTCAATTAAAAAGCAAAAGAAAAGTGGGAGCATTAATGTGCAAGTAGATAATGGACCAGAGCCACCACCTCGATTGCCAATACATTTTCAAGAATGAAATTCTTAAACTGGCACAAGGAAGAACTGTATCACAGGAAAAGTAGGTAATACAATGAAAACCGTCTCTCAACATTCCATGGAAACATATGAGAGAGGAGTTTCTAACAAAAGAAGAGAAGATTACATAATCAAAGAGAGTTGATGGGGGCAGGAAATGGCTTCTATAACAGTGAAGATTTTTGGACCATTGCTTGGAAAAACCAGTCTCAAGTTAAGAATATGGCGTTCGAGTATGCTGTACGTCTTGAATGGATCTTGGGAAAAGGTTCATGATAGGAATCATATCAAAACTGGAACAGTAGTGCCGCTTTGGGCAGTTCTAGTTGGCAGGGATTTGTGGCGTGCTCCTCACAAATTTAGTACTTTCAAGAATTTGTTGGCTTGTTTGTTTCATTTTTAGTTATGTTTTGTGTTTTCAAACTTTTCCTTTACACTCCCTACATCGGATTTTCGAACTTTCTCGAGAAATTCCTTCTATTGTTTTGTGACATTTTGATAAAACGGGAAATTAAATGTGACATTCTCTCTATCTTGAATAGCACAAAAGGTTGCAATTGAATTATGACCATTCTGTCTACATCGCTATGCATCTTTTGCTCAAGCTAGACGTCAATTTCTAGCCCAGTACAAATAGGAAATTAAAGGAAATATTCTCTACATAAATATAGGTTTAACTTCAAATTACTGATGTTTGCTGAAGTTCACCTCACGAGAAACTGTTGAGAAGATATTCATGACTGAAGCGAAGGATGATAGTGCATTTGTTCGAAATGCTTCTCTTACACCTATAGATTAGGTGACATATGCATGATGGAGGGAGTCTCATATATGTCGACGTGCTATTCAATTGATTGTGCTTATTTAATTAAATAACTTTATACTGGGATTAGAGCTCGGCCCATCATGCCCGCTTCGCCCATTTATTTCTTTACATATACGTGAGTTCATTTCATAATAAGGTATGAATTATGACCCTGGCCAAATTCTCTGCCTCTCTTGCACTCTCTTCATCTTTCATCCGACCATTGATCGTCGGAGTGTAAACAGTCGTCAGACGTTTTTCTCGACTGGCAACATCTGCCTTCTAATGGGGTGTTCAGTGTGTAGGTGATGTCCATGTGGAGAAAGTGTTGTCAGGATTCTATTGGCGCATTTTTTGAAGTCAACGGCTTCTAAAATGTAAGTCTCAATTTCTCAAGTCTCATTTAGCTAGCAGATCGAAACTAAAATTCAACTATGTTTGGGATTTTTTTCTTCTTTACTCCAATTGATAGGGCTAAAAAAAACTAGTGAATCGAGCTTATGACCTGCTCAAGTTGAGTTTGTTGACCAAACTCATTTAGTCCAAGTAAATCGGCGATTTGTCGTGAAACTACCAACCCGTTATTCGGTAAAAATAGATTTTGGAAATGTAAGTTTTTGGAGAATGTTATTGAAAGTAGGAAAAAATTTTAGGTTTGCATATAATATTATTTTATTAAGAAAATATATAGTTAAAAATGAATTTGAAGAAAAATGTATTATTGGAAAATGGGGCTCAAACAATAGCTTGCTGGTGTAATTTTTTGAGAATAAATTATTTTATTGAAAATTTATTAAAAGAATGTGAGATTAATACGAGTTTCAAAAAATGATTTTTAAAATTGTACCAAACAGGTGCTTAAAGGACGTTTGATAAAAATTATAACTCAACATTTTTCACTAGACTTTTTAATATCAAATGATTGTATGGATTTTTTTATGTATGGAGAAATTATTTTTAGTTGAGATGAATCGAATATTTTAATACATAGTATTTTCTTATTCATAACTTATAAATTGTGTGTACATCACAAAAAGAAAAAAATAATATAAATTTTAATTATAAATTCTATATTTTACAAAATTATAAATTAAAATGTAAACAATAAGTTTACAATATTAATATTTTATAGATATAAAGTTAATTAGTGACAAATATCTGAATAAATTGTAATTACGTCTCAATCAAAAAAACTATAATTTGCAAATTTTTAAATAATTTTCTACTCAATGACTCACTTATCCAACCACTAGCCGACTTGTTCAACCAATGACATGATGACCCAATGCCTTGGCAAAGTTGATTTCGATTTAGGTCTGATAACGATGCTAATTAATTACAACCTATACTCCCAAATTATGAGCTTGTTTGTGATTGATTTTTCAAAAATAATTCTCAACCACACATTATATAAAAATCATATTTTTCTTATACTTCTTAGTTTACACACTCTAAAAAAAAACAAAAAAAAAATTCATTTTTCCATTCAAAATCCTCCCAAACAAGTATATGCATTACGACCCCAAAAAACCAGAAATGACCAAAAAAAAAAAACATTTTTCCAGTCATTTTTCCTAGTTGAGAATGCATAAAAATCGTAAATATTGGCAATACTGTCTAATTCATTGGGAACAGTCCATACAATTGAGATAATTTTCCAGATGTATCCTGCGATTCTTACCACCCCAAAAAACCAGAAATGACCTAAACAAAAGGACTCTAATGCTGAAACATTAAACAGGTGAATCTCGCTACTACATCATAAACATTTCCAACTAATAATATAGATCCTATCACATTCAGCTCAAATAACAACGCGAACACTATAATTTTTTTCAGAGACAAAATTGCTCGAATCAGGAAATGAATTGTGCATTAGCCAAAGCTTTTTCCTCTTCTCGTATGACCCACACTAAACTAATTCAATGATGGGAAGAGACATATCTGCACGAGTTTCAGAAGAGCAAATTGTAAATCTATTACAGGATCTGAGCAGCTGTATTCAACTTTTCTGCTAAGCTGAGTTGTGTTCTTGTAATACTTGACAAATAAAGTAATAGTAATTGGTCCTGCAAGAAGAAACGGAACTTTTGGTCAGATAGCGATACCAGGACCAAGAACAAGCCTCTAAACATATGTGAAAGTTCTAGCTAGTAGAACTAACGATTTGGGTGAAAAATACCTAACCAACTGAAACTAAAATAAGAACCAGCATGACAAGTTAAACAATTAAACTGGGGAAGTAGGGAAACCATTTCATGACACGGCATTTGTTCCAGAACAAGCTATTTATCAACTAACAAAACCTCATCTCAATTTTAGAGTCGTGACATTCATGTGAATATGGCCTCATTGTTCACATAAACTTGTAAGAACATCTCTAAGAGGCTCTTTAAAAGTGATCTCTTTATTTTAAGGAGTCTAGCCTTGATATTAGGCTCCAATAGTCTTTATTTTAACTTTTTAAAATTGAGGAGAGC